TATGTATAAAGTAAAAACTTGAAAAACTTTATTCTCTGAATTGACAAAGGCTAGAGGTTAAATATTTGGCATGAGACTTTGCGAAGTGAACCTCTACAAAGATTGTTCAAATCATAGTCCTTGGGTCAAAATTGGCCCCGCCCAAGGGGTCATTGATTTTCACCATGTACATATAGTAAACAAAATTAAAAAAAATCTTCTTGTCTGAAGGTACAAGGCACGAGCTTTGATGTTTGCTATATAATATCATCTATAGGTCCTCTTCCAAAGTTATTTAAAATTTTCCTCCTGGTGTCAAAATTTGCCCTGCACAGACTAAGATGTAAAGTAAACGTTAATATCAGCTGACCTAAATTTTGACAAAGTGTCTTACTGTGTTGTCCTTTGATGAAGTCATGAAATTTAGGCTGTGTGAAAATATGACCTTCACCACCAAATTCACTAGACTTAACGGCATTGATATCTAGTCCTACTCTGATCTTTTATTTGAATAACAATAGATTAAACCACTTACCTGATAATAAGAAATAGATAAGTCAGGGATCTTTGCATTATAACAATCTTCAATTGTATAGAAACAAATAACAAGAGCTGTCAGTAGGACAGCAACGCTCGACTATTCTTAGTGCTTGATAGTAAAAAAATGCTTGATACAGTTACCTCCTCCTGTTTACAGGTTGGGGTCATGATGGTGAACAAGTGTGCAAAGTTTCAAAGCCATATGTCTATGGACTTTGAAAATATTTGAACTATTACAAAAACTTTAACGTAAATTCTAAGTCGAAAAAGGGGCATAATTCTGTCAAAATGCTTGATAGAGTTACCTCCTCCTGTCTACAGGTTGGGGTCATGATGGTGAACAAGTGTGCAAAGTTTCAAAGCCATATGTCTATGGACTTTGAAAATATTTGAACTATTACAAAAACTTTAACGTAAATTCTAAGTCGAAAAAGGGGCATAATTCTGTCAAAATGCTTGATAGAGTTACCTCCTCCTGTCTACAGGTTGGGATCATGATGGTGAACAAGTGTGCAAAGTTTCAAAGCCATATGTCAATTGAGTTTGAAAATATTTGAACTATTACAAAAACTTTAACGTAAATTCTAACTCGAAAAAGGGGCATAATTCTGTCAAAATGCTTGATAGAGTTACCTCCTCCTGCCTACAGGTTGGGGTCATGATGGTGAACAAGTGTGCAAAGTTTCAAAGCCATATGTCAATGGACTTTGAAAATATTTGAACTATTACAAAAACTTTAACGTAAACTCTAAGTCAAAAAAGGAGCATAATTCTGTCAAAATGCTTGATACAGTTACCTTCTCCTGTCTACAGGTTGGGGTCATGATGGTGAATAAGTGTGCAAAGTTTCAAAGCCATATGTCAATTGACTTTGAAAATATTTGAACTATTACAAAAACTTTAACGTAAATTCTAACTCGAAAAAGGGGCATAATTCTGTCAAAATGCTTAATAGAGTTACCTCCTCCTGCCTACAGGTTGGGGTCATGATGGTGAACAAGTGTGCAAAGTTTCAAAGCCATATGTCAATGGACTTTGAAAATATTTGAACTATTACAAAAACTTTAACGTAAATTCTAAGTCGAAAAAGGGGCATAATTCTGTCAAAATGCTTGATACAGTTACCTTCTCCTGTCTACAGGTTGGGGTCATGATGGTGAACAAGTGTGCAAAGGTTCAAAGCCATATGTCAATGGACTTTGAAAATATTTGAACTATTACAAAAACTTTAACATAAGTGGTTACGCCGACGCCGACGCCGACGCGGACGCCGACGCTCGGGTGACTGCAATAGCTCTACTTATTCTTATCGAATAGTCGAGCTAAAAATCTGTTCATACACTACTATTTAGTGTTGTATTAACCCTTTCGCTGCCAGAGGGTTATTGTTTTATTGTTCACCTATTTGCCAGAGGATTTTCTAAGAAATTACTATATTATTAATTAATATAATTATTATTATTTGTTATTAGTATTATAATAATTATATATGTTTCCAAACCTGTTAGTATAATAATAATTATTGTCGATGGTATAATTTTCTTTATATTTATTATTATTTTTATTACTATTATTATTATTAATTTATTATTATTACTATTATTATTATAGAAACGGCTAAAGCCGTCCATATGGCAAATACGCCGAAAATAACAGGGACGGCTTAAGCCGTTCCTATGGCAGTGAAAGGGTGCGGTGGAATAGCATTTTTCACAAATGCAATCTTGTTTTTTTTTTAAAGTAAAATAAGATGTCATAACTAGATGCCTTAGCTTTCATCAACTGTTGTCGGAACTCAAACACATTTAAAATTCTAGCTTGAAATCTTAAACAATTTAAAGGCCCATTATGCCTATGAAACGCTTTTATTTTCATTTCTTTTGAGTCTCACCTTGACTATCCTTTACATCTGTTGCATTTTTTGCAATAAGTACAGTTATATAGTGAATTAATATTTTGTATGGAAGTCAAAATACAATGTACGGCTTTGTTTAAATTTTGCAACTTTAAATGACAAATTATTTTCAAATTTTATCACTACTGGCTTTCAGGCAACAAGCACATTACATTCTCTAAAACCATTATTTAAACATAATAATTTCATGTTTGCCCTTTCTAAAGAAGTAAAATATTTATTGGTTTCTGAGGCATAATATGCCTTTAAACAAATTTTTCAGGTTTTCATAATCTATAATCTGGGACTTATTATCATATCATGTCTAGCCAGATATATTAATTATGATATATGTGAAACAAATGCATACATCTGTTAAAAACAATCAATCTTAAAAACTAAGTAAAGTTATAATCATTTTTAAAGACCCTTACTTTGAAAATCTATGATTCAGAGTTCTTTTTTGAATCTGATAAAGCACATGTAAATTTCCAAAATTGAACAGTAAACTTAGCTCTTTCATAATTAAGAAAAAAATATCCTTTTATTCTATTTGCTTAAAGATTTACGAAAAGGGTTTTTTGTTATGCCTGACAAGACCTTAAGGCTTTAAAACTTCTGATGTAAATTTAAACATGTTAACACTGACATAATTATAAAGGTTTACTCTTAATCAGTTAAAACTGTTTTATTTCATATATCTCTCAGAATTATCACTCTCAGTCTGCAAGCATTCTTTTTTAACTGCATTCAAGTCAAATTATGTCAAAGAAGCACAAGTATTGTAATTTTAAGGACTTGGAATCCACAAGGAAGCCCATAATTATTAGAAAGAAGCATTTAAAACACTATTTACAAAATTAGAATTGTCTGTCTATTTTCTCCAAGTAATAATACGGCATAAAGTTCACATAATTACTTCAACTAATTAATAACCATTTTAAAACTTGATTATTAAAAATGCAAGCACTTTTTCAACATTTTGTCACTAAAACTTGGAAGTCACTGTTTGGCTAAATGGAACATAGTCTTACAAATAGGATGTTGCAATAAATGTAATACTTCAACTTCCGGGCAAAGCAATATCTTATTAAATTTGTTTCAAAATCTACAGCATCTGTTGCAACATTTTCTTTTGGCGTCATTTACCACTTAAATCAGAGCATATACTCTGACATAGAAATTTTAACTCACATTTGAAATTGATTTAACAACAGCTCTACTGAGATGGGGCAAAATACGCAAGATGACAAATTTAAAACAAAGTTTCACAGACAAAATATATGCCTTCAAAATAGATAGCAAATTTATAAAATATTAGTAAAATATATGAAATGATGATATTCTTTCCAGGGAGAACATCACCGTTGACGACCACGACAACAACAGCAGCAGCAGCAGCACCTAAACTATGTTTGTACATTTAGTTTTCATGCATTATTTGATATATTAGTTATATTATATTAGTTGGGATATTTTCTTTTGAGTTTTATGCGAACAAATAAAATATTTTTTTCAAATACCCGAGTCGCCTTTAGGACTCCGTAACCTAAGTATTGCACGGTCCTGCTTATAATATGTAAATTAGCCGTTGCAAATGAATATTTTTAAGTTTACATATCGTTAAATATATCTAAAACATTTACAATTTTAATGTTTTCAACGGTTCTGTTTTTTAACCCTTGATTAACAAGCCGATATGGTTTTCAGGGTGTGTGATAATCAGAAAATCAGTTTATTCAACCTGTCCATTTAAGGCAAGTTGAAACAACATGCCCTTGGCTTCCTGTAAGCAAACAAATAACAATGATTTTGCGCATATATTAATGTAAAATGCTGATTAAAAACATGCCAATAATTATACCGTCTTTTAGTTAAAAAGTGCGGATACAATAATAATTAAACAACAGCTAAGCTTGTGCACAATTTTTGAAATATAATCGATTTCCATTTATATTTTTAGATGAATGCATTTAAAATTTCTAAAGTTTTATAAAAGTTCTTTAATTGCCATACAATAATATGTGCATTGATAAAGTCTACAGTCAGATGTACAAATTTGTTTAAAAGCTCTCCCAAAATTGTATAAAATCTGTGTTTTTCGTCTATTCAGCGATAAAGGTATTCATTGATGTCAATGTATATACAACATGTATCTATTCTGGTCCCCTGCCTAGACTAAGTACCAGTGCAGGTTATCTAATTACTTAAAAAAACATTTTTAAGCAAAGAAGAAAAGTTTATTTTTAAAAATATGAAACTGTTAATAAAAACATTCTGATAGGCAGAATCAAAACAAACAAACAAATAAACAAAAAACTCCAAGTTGCCCTGTGAAGATAGTGCCACATTTGTTATGGCTTGGGCTTTTCACATATGTGTTTAATGCTTGTAGATGGCGAATAGCAGGCTATATCATCTAGTTTATAACTAAAGAACGTTGGTATCCATATACAGAGCGGCTGCATGTTACCATTATCAGGCCCTACTCCGTTGTGCCACGATGACCCCGTCACTTATCGGAATACCTTTATTGTCACTCGTCCTAACGCGTCCATGCAGAAGGGTCCGGATGCTAGCGCATTTGTGCATCAATCAATAATGATGGCCATTCACGTCTGTAAAGAAAGAAGAAAAATTCATGTTTTTTCGTAACTTTTTCAGTATCATGATTAAATATTATCAAAAAGTGTGAAAATTATTTATTAATTCATCACGATTCATCGTCATACATACTCGTGGATAATTATATATATATATAATTAACAATGTCTCAAAGATTATCATTAATAAATTAATTATAATTTTCTACGTTAATCTTGTCATTTCTCTCTCCCGCGACTTAATGCTCTGCTTTATAAATTGTCTTTTGACGTATATTCTGTAGTATGCAAGCTACATAACCTCTGTTCCTCCATTTAGAAATTCCATTTTGTTTTTGTTTTGACCATTGCTTTTACTTGCGGACCACATGCCGCTTTTCTTGTGATGACCCGAACGTTTCACGAGGCAAGTTCCGTGATAACCGATCTGCGGGTGTTCTCAGTTTAAATGGTCACCACTTTCATGTTTAAATTTTGAATTCTGTTTAAAACGGTGCTAGTGGTGCGGGCGGTAGCCTACAATTACCACTACCGTCCATAAATAGGCTCAATCAAACCGAGCCAGTTTTTCTCTGTTTTAATACTTATACTTGTATGTAAAAGTTATAGAATTTGCATTAGTACCTGCACATGGTATTAACTGGTCTCTAACAAAATTCATTTTGTCAACAGTTTGAATTTGTAAAGGATGTGCGTTGAGGGAAGCACAATGATCAACAGCCTCTTGTAACGTCACTGCCGCCGTCGTGGTGAATAAGCTGAAAATATAATCGATAATTCTATTTTAGAATGAAGTTTATAAACTGGTTAGCAAAATAAAATAGCCGTGTCTAAATATGATCATCAAAGAGTGATGGAATATATTAATCTTACACTGGCTGCTGGTACAGACTGGAATATCTAGCTCGAGGGTGGCTGTTTACGGCGATAACGAGGCTCTGCCGAGTTTCCGCTAAACAGTTACCGGAGAGCTAGATATTCCCGTCTGTACCGACAGCCGGTGTTTGATTCTTTTTTTTGCATTTTACATATCAATTATTTTCAGAACAGAAATAACGAAAACTGATATTCTCATTACGCACATTTTTCATATAGTAGCGTATGAACGTATAACTTCATGGATTTAACTCCATACAGGATTGGAGCAGTACCTATTGACGCTTGCAGAAATCATAATCACAAAATAGACAAATATCGTTTTTTCGCCGGTTTTTTCCCATTTTTTATGCATTATCATACTTTAATCGGTGTGAAAAGATGACTTAGACCTTTTAAAGTTCATTCCGTTGGGTGAAAAGGCAAAATTTTAGATTTTATCATTCAAGCGTCTTGTCCGGTATATACTGGAATACGGTATTTAGTGTGGTGCTCCAATTCTTTTTTTAGTCTCACTCCAACTTCATGATCAAAGTCAATCCCCCAAGATGAAATGCCTTGCTAATGAACTTGCAACATTATTGTTGCCGGCAATAACATCTGTTCTCACTAATGTAATTGAGAAATCATCTGTGCAAAAAGATCAGTTTGAAAAAGCTAAGGCAAATATAAGAGTTATTAAGTATGAGAATGATAAACTTGAACAATATACTAGAAGAGAGAATATAAGAATTTTCAATCTAAAGTTGAACCCAGGTAAATCTCTGTCAGAGGGTGTTGTTGCCATGTTGAATGAAATGGCTTCACGTGGGTATAATCCAGACGAGTCAGAGGGAGAGCCTCCATATCATTTTAGAGTAGAAGATATCAGTGTGTGCCATCGCCTTGGCAAGTTTCCGAAGGAAGGTCATCCAGATTCTCGTCCTGTTATTGTTCGGTTTGTTCGCAGGCAAACTGTGCTTAATGTATTCAAATACAAAAAAAAATCTTAGGCATATGTCAAAATATCAAGAAGATAAAGGTCAGGGAAAGAAGTCTGTTTTCATTACAGAAGACCTTACAAGATTAAGAGTTAAACTTAGAGATTATGTTAAAATGCAGGATAGTGTAAGTAGTGTGTATACTACTGAAGGAAATATCCACTGTACTAAAGAGGGTAAACACTACATTATCACAAATCCTGATGATCTCTTTAAACTTGGTATTGTGCCAGACCTTAATGAGCTCCAGCTCCAGTCATTTGTATAGGATACATCGGAAGGTGGTGATTTGCCTCATTGTACTCTTGATCTCGATGATAGTGAGAATGTTCAAAGTGACAGTAACTTCGCACATGTAGAATCCAATGAAAAGACAGTTCATGGTCACACTTACAGTTATATGTTGTTACATTCCAGTTTAAAGTTAACATGTTTAAATATTTGTGGTTTGATGAACAAATTGAATTATCCTGATTTTCATGACTTCATGACTTTATTAATAATTACGATATTATTGGGTAAGTTGAAACCAAACTAGATGACTTTGATACTGTATGTTGTAATGGTTTTAAATATATTGGTCTAAATCGTAAGTCCTTTAAACGTAAATCTGGTGGAATTGGGTTGTTAGTGAAAGAATGCTACCATCAATATGTATCTGTTTTGAATTCTAGTAATGAAAATTGTTTGTGGTTTAAAATTGATAAGTTGTTTGAGTACAATATTATTTTTGGTGCTGTCTATATACCACCAGAAGGATCTTCTGATAGTTCAATTGATATTTTTGACGATATTGAAAACGATATTTTAAATTTTTCAGAAAATGATCCATACATATGTTTGATGGGTGATTTTAATTAAAAAAACTGGACAAAACTTCATTAATTTTGATAAACATATTGTTGACTTTAACTTTGACTATAACGCCAAGTATCAGTTAAGCAAGCATAATTTAGATATGTTAGGTCTTCCCATTGATAGATATTCAATGGACCATTCTTGTAATAATTATGGTTACAGACTGTTAGAATTATGTAAAACTTTTGATATTCATATACTGAATAGTGATCAATATATTGGTCATTATACCAACACAAATAAAGTTTCCATTTAAAAGGAAAGGCTTGCTCAGTTGTGCCATCATCCCTTTCCTTTAAAATTGTTTTTTTTTTTTTGTTTCAATTTATTATCACAATTTTTTTTGAATTACGGCATTTGTATATCATAAAGGGTTTATTTAGTTTTTTTTCTCGAAAAAGTTTCACTATTAAAGGGATAGGTAGGGTAAGCCAAAGACTGGACGAGCACCTGTGCCCATTTGTTTGAGCACCAGTGTTATGCGTGCAAATTTGGACCAAATAGGACCAGAAGTCCACTGATTATAACTGAACGGGAACATGCTGACGATAACAGTGGCAACTGTTTTTTGTAAAAAACTAATATTTTTTTGTCAAAAGCATTTCGAAATCTATTCTCTATTGTATAAAAATAATAAAGAAAATAATCAATCGTAAAAATACTAACATTGGCTCTCACGTGGGGATCAATCTACCATACTGAAGGGAAACAAGTGTGCACATTTCATGCAGAGAGAGTCTTTCGTTTTGGCAGTTGCTAATTTCATTTATATAGCAGCTTTAGAGACAAGTAAATGCACTAAAAGACTTCGTTACGTGGTACCAATTAATAAGCATGTATCAACTATGTTTTACCTAAAATATGTATGATCGACAACACAGAAGATCAGCACGTGGTAAGGTTAATGATATGCGTGGGCTATTTTTAGATTACCTCACCAAGACGATCTAAATGCACTTATATTCTGCGTGATTCGGTCACGATCTTTTGGTAAGCAGGACCGCCCTTTGGAGACGGAATACTACTACAGTAACCATTCTCTATTGTATAAAACTAATAAAGACAAAAACCAATTATAAAAGAAACTAACTTTTGCGTCTTGAAAAAGAATTGAAACGGAAAATAAGTAAAAATAGAAATCCTATTTATATAAACAAACTGGGATTACCAAAGTAACTAAAATAGCTTAGATTTCCGTAATATTACTTCGTCTGATACCGCAGTATGACGGAATCGCCCGAATTGTCACGATTGCAATCGGAACTACCTCGGCTATTATGATTAATCCAAATAGTGACGGAAAGGGCCAAAAAGTTGCGATTGGCACGATTGCAGCTGGTTTCCCGTTCAATCATGCACTAACAAATGTAAGCAGGAAACCACCTAACCGGAACAACTTTTCCAAAACAAATGGCTTGCCAAAAACAGTGTCATTGATTATATTTTATTTCCACAAGTATCTAAGTTTGATGTTCTTCCATTTGATCCTTTATTGCTTGATATTCATGTTGCATTATCATTTTGCTTATCTTGTAAATTAGCTGATATTTCTGAGAACAATGTTAATAAGAATTCTACATCTAGTGTTGAAAAGCCTGTATGGGATGCCAATTGTAAAACACTGTTTGTTGATTCTTTTGATCATATGGATATTGATAATCTTGTTGCTCAACTTGATAATTTAGCTTTAGGTTGTAAGGAAGAAATTTCCTCTTGTATAAATGTGGTTGTGTCAGATATTTCTGACATTTATACTAAAGCTGCAAAAAATGCAAACATGATTAAAACTGTTGTTGTAAATAGTAGGGTCGATAATGATACTAATAAGTCAACAAAACCATGGTATGATCAGGAATGTAGGGAAAAAAGATCTGTATACATGAAAGCAAAAAAAAAGAATATAGAAGTCTCAATTCCAATGTAAATTTAGAGTCTTTAAAAAGTGCAAGTAAAATGTACAAAAAAGAAATAAGTTTAAAGCTTCATACATGTCATAAGTATAATAAAACTATTAATAATAAGTTCAGAAATTTACGACATTCAGACCCCAGAGCTGATTTGTCTTTACTGAATAAATACTCGAGAGAAAGAAATAAAATTATGTCTAATATTAGTGCAGAGGCTTTTTATGAACATTTCAGTAAATTGAATGAAAATAATGAGGGAGAGAATGTTGATTTTGACATAACCAATATTTCAGATTATAATTTTGAATTGAACTCCACTATTACTAACAGTGAAATATTGAATGCTATTAATGGTTTAAGTAATATTTACATGACAATATATTGAATGAGTATATCAAGTACTCTAAAGATATTATGCTGCCTGTTCTTAATAAATTGTTTAATATCATTTTTGAATCAGCATGTGTCCCAGAAGTCTGGTGCAAAGGAGTTTTTTTTTCCTATTTATAAAAAAGGGTGATGTAAATAACCCAGACAACTACAGGGGAATCACTATTTTAAGTTGTTTAGGGATATTCTTAATAAAAGACTTAATACTTTTCTAGAAAATTCAGGATTGTTATGTGAAGAGCAGGCTGGTTTTCGTAAAGATTATGGAATTGTAGATCATATATTTACTTTGAAACTGTTAGTTGACTTTTATCTAAGTAAGAATAAGAAATTATATTGTGCATTTTTGGATTATAAAAAAGCTTTCGATTCTGTAAATAGACCTTTTTATGGATGAAACTTTTAAAGCACAATGTAGATGGTAAAATGCCAAGGGTAATTTATAGTATTTATGACAAAGCTAAATCATGTGTAAAAAGCACTCAGGGTCTATCAACATATTTTACAAGTGCAACAGGTGTCCGTCAAGGTGAAACCTATCACCTATTATTTTTTTTGTCTTCCTAAATGATCTTGTAGAACATATCTCAAATAGGTATAATGGTTTAGATTTACTATCGCAGTCTATTAAAAATGTACTAAGTGATGATATAGTAGAGGTTTACTTTAAATTGTTTTTACTGCTTTATGCTGATGATACTGTAATTTTTGTAGAATCTGCATCTGATTTTCAATTAGCACTAGATG